GCTCAAGCTAAGGTAGGTAATTAGTTAGATCGACTCGGGCGTTCTAACTTGAAGGTTGTTCTCACCGTTTCTCCACGCTGCACACCGTGCGCGCTCTCGATTGACTGGAGTTCCGATGCGTAGTGTAATTGCTCTCCCCAGGTGACCAATTTCCTCATCACCAACCGAGGCGCATTCGGGGTCTCGAGCACCTTGTTGTTTGCCCCTCTTCTGGATCAAATACCGGCGATGGATCCGGAGATTTAGTTGTTTCGTTTCATTTGAACTCGGCTGGAAACATATTCTATCCGTAGACCAATTTGCACAAAACCGAACTGTCTCCAAGTCACCGCTTGTGGGACCAGACAGCGTACATGCATTATCGCACGGCTTAGTAGGCGAGGCAATCCGTGGAGTCCACAATCGAGGTCACAGTTGCACTTTCACGGCGGTTCATCAAGCCGCCGTTACATCGCGCTTAGAATCGGGTTGCCCAACAGAGAGCACTAAGGCGCTAATAATCTCACGAGCCCCAGACTCAGAGCCTAGAGGTTACGGAGTACAGATACCGCCTCTGCAAAGAAATGGAGCACAATCGAGCCATGGCCAATACTGCATCTTCGGGTCTGGTGGAGATTGGACTCCAGGTTTGCAGGTCTACCAAGGCAAGATGCTGGTTCAATATGGTTTTCTCATGTCATTGGAAATTTCTGAAAAGTGTCATGCGGCCATGATTATGCTGCCAATGACACTGTGCAGAGAGAAATCATGACAGGTTTGATGTTCCGGTTGTACAGAGTCTAACTGCGTCAATGCATAGTTGAGACGACAGCGATCATACATACACGAACAATCGACTAGACATCGGCCCACGACTGATATCGAACTTCTGACAGCCGTTGAGACAAGCCAGCCACCGATCGGATCGTCCATTGGCCACCACCGTGGGGGAGAAGGGGCCCACGGCTCCGATCAGTCATCCACCAACGGCTTTTACAATCGGGAAATGTGACGGATCAAGGTGACGTGCTTTAGCAAATGCAGCGGAACATCCGCGGCCAGATTTTGGCGCAAGTCTGTGTGGTATTTTATGTCGCCTTGCCAAGATGTGCCGATGAATAAGTTGGGACGAGATGTGTTTTGAGACTGAGCTTTGAACCCATCGTACTTCCACTCGGCCGCGTTGATCCGCCACCTAACTAGATATGCGGGCAGTTTCGAATACTGTCTAGATCCTCAATCTCTCCCAGGAAGGACCATGCTGGGCTAGGGCCCAGCCACTAGTGACGGATTTCCACCATCACTTGGCCTATACACTCCCCGGGGCGTGTTCGGCATAGGAGACTCACTTATCCTCTCTAATTGTGACCTTGGCGGTACGACCAAGACTTCTCTCTCACTTTGCAGAAGATCGCGGAACGTGGCGGTAAAATGACGACGCGGAAGTCAGTCAATGAAACACCCGGAGCACAGATCTCAGAGGAAGAGGCGGCAAAAAGGAAATGGGAAGTGAGGTGGTTGGTGATCAGGAGGTCCAAGGCTGAGGCAGTTATTCTGCCTCTGATCTGAATGACGAGTCTCTGGATGATGGGGGAAATGAGGGGGGATGAAGAGGAGGAAGAGGGGAGAGGCAGAGAGGGCCCCGATGCCCGTCTGGCCTGGTCTCTTTGGAAGGTTTGGTCCGTTCCGTTTAGGCAGTTCCACACCAACGATTCCGTAAAGAATGAGGCTATGGGTGTTCCGTAGAGTTATGAGCCTTGGTAACGCATCTGTTTTGTGGCAATTGTTCTGACGAGAAATTGCAGTCTTTGAACGTGTGGTTTGCTGGTTAGGATTCTTTGGTTACCGTGGGTTCTAGGAAGCTTAGGGACTGGTTTGGTTGGTTCTGCTAACGCGGGATGGGTGTAGAGCCGGGAGCGGTGCGCCGGCTGCGTTGATAGTTTGGATGGGCGAGAGAAGGAGCTGAGTGTGGTTTGGAGGGCGAAAGTTGTTGGTAGTATAGATTGGATGATGATGGCATACGGTAAAATCGAATACATATACTGGATTATTTCCTCGAAATTATTCTCTTTTGTTTCTGATTCATTATCAGCCGTCGTCGTCACATTTCTCATTATCAAAAAGCCACTAAAGATGCCTCGTCTCAATATGATGGATCGATGGAGACGACAACAAACATCGAACTCGACCCAAATATCTGCCATCCCATCAACACATGTGGAGTCAGCGAGGTCTCGATGGGACGATTCTAATGACTCGTAGTCCTTTATTCGAATCGTGCGACAAGCCGGCCGAACGGCTATTGACAAAGATGCCAAGACCTATCTATCGAGTTTGAACGAAACCGACGAAACCGAATCACGAGCCTAGACCACATTTCCATGCCGCGCGCGGGGCAAGATGCCGTGTCTCGACCGAGGACGATACGGTAAAAGCAAAATTTCAGAGCTGAGAGAAGAGACGGGAGAGAAGAAAAAACGCTGAAGGGGGATGAAAGAAGTCCGGGAGAAAGATACCAGGCCGTCATGGATTTGGACTGAATACCGTGTCCTCGGGAAACCTGATTGATAGGTCCATTTGTCGAAGATATCAGCTTCTACGCTGAGGCTGTAAGGCAATTATGACCCCGATACCAGAGAGCGGAAGTAGCACTGCCGACTTCTCTGTCGTTGCGTCTACGGCTCGAGGGTCGTGAAATCCGGCAATGATTGATACCTTATCTGAACGCTTTCATCTGCTGATGGGGAGTCAAGTCAGACGTCGTCGAATGAACCTGTATCAAGGTATCATACTCAGGCCGCTTGGGATCATAGACGCGTCTCTACCCGTGGTCTACTCTGGCTTTAGTTTCTTTCGCCAGTGCCTTAAACGCCCTGTAGACTGGATCTGTATTGATTCGCGTGTGAAGTCTTCTTGCTCCAAAGCCTTCCCCGCTCTGCTTGGTGTTTCGTTGCTGACGGTAACTTGTCACCAGGTTTACTATTCGATCAGACGTTACCCTCTCGACGCGACAACCCGAATGCCTACCCTCCATACCTTTTTCGATACCTTGGATGGATATACTTGAGAGTTCTTGGCATAGAATGTTTCTGATGCGTTGAGATAATTTGCTTGATACAAACCCCATAGTTGGGCTGTCCGCTGTTTGTGATCATGATAGACCTTCGTCATACTCTTGTCCAAGATTGAGCCGCGTGGAAACGCCTTCGTGGGCCAAAGATACGCGGCTGAAAGTGACAGAGACGCGCAATAAGGACTTGAAGCTCGAATGCGATCGAGAGCTGATCATGGAGCTGGAGTCTGGAGTTAGGATCCCGGTTCGAACGAGTGTCATGGTGTTCGAGTGAAGACCCCAAGATGGCTTGCTTGGATCAGCTCGATGGCTCCGAAAACCCTCTGAACGGTCCGAACATGACTTTTCAGACATATGATACTCCTAAGTTCAAGACCCATGATCGTCCATTGATTATTTTTTACCCCGAGGTTTACTCTGCTTGGTCTCGTCCGATCTGTGATGGAAGACTACCCGGTATCACCACTCCCAGTCTAACGATGTGAGCAGGAGGCTTCCGTGACAGACCAAGTAGTCGCCCGGTGCATTCATTTGCCCGACATCGACGCCAAATATACATGCCCTCGTTTGAACTTCGCTTAGCAGTCTGCTGTATATGCCTTCTTTGTTCGAATTGCCATAAGAAGTTGGTCTAGGCACAGATATTCATCGTTCTGGCCCAGGTGTTCCCCCATACCGTACCTACATCCCAATAAATCCCAAACAACGTCTTGGTCTCGGACTGTAGTATGGACTTGGGGAAGTGAGCCCGGAATAGTTACTTGGTGAATGACAGTTTACCTCTTGTAGCCTCCCACTTCTCTGTTTGACTTGATCGTTCACGAATAGGATTGAATGTTGACTGGTGGGGCTTAATAGGTAGATGTCCTTCCTTGATATGAAGAAACCGTGAATTTCAGCACAAAGCTAAGTTTGAATGAGTATCTTCGTGGCTTGGAATTTGGAAAGTGGAACTCTGCCGCCCTTGCCAGCTCAATCTAAGCTGAGCATGCCGCTTGGTCCTCATTCGATTTCTCTTCGATTTGCTGCATGTGTATATTGGGTGCTGCTGAAGATGCCTCAGAATATTACTGGGTGAGTAGACTGGGTATTTACAGGCGTATAGGTTTGTGTCCAAATCTCACTGAATGACCATATACTCCCAAGAGACTTCATTTCCCCTTGAGGGTCGCCACCAAGCTAACCTCTCCCACCCGATCTCGGCTTTCCTGTTTTCGATGGCCTCGCCTTTCATGATGCCGTGAACTTGACCTAGAGTTAGCTGAGATCCTTTGGTGGACAGTAGATGATCGCAACTGACCGTAAGCCTCTCCTACCAGCTCATATAGTGTCGACCCATTCTTTGTTGCCCGCTCATGTTCCCGTAGAACCAGGGGCAGGCTGCATCCAGCAACGATGAAAATTTTGTCTCCTAGCCTTGTTCCCTCGGGTCCAATGCAAAGATAGCGCTGATTCTTTGTGACGAAGAAGCGCCGGAATACCATGGTTTCCCCTATGGCTTCTTCTTCATCCATCATACCACGGGAACCAGCCATCAGGACTCTCTTGACAAGGCTAGGCAATCCGTCCTTCTCATCCTTGCTCCACCAACGAGGCTTCCCATCAAAGAATGCGGCCTGGCTAACAAGACACGCATCATTCACGGTATTTTTGACGCCAATATCTGATCTTGGCCCATGCGGAGGAGCCACTGTTTCCACTTCATCGACAAATACAGCTCGAACATGTAACCTGTCTAGATCATGGCTGAACCAAGCAACTGGTACTGCGCTTGAGCAGGCCGTAAAGCCATGTCCATTTACAACGAGAGATTCGATAGACCCAGTGACGAAGAGAGAATGGATACGGGATCGGTCAACCAGGGGCTTCGGTCGTCCCTTGAGTGGGCTGTGTTCTTTACGCCAGTCAGGCACCCAGCTCGGCAGCGAGATTGATTCGTCTCCTTTCTTCAGTCTTCCGGCCGCCAGCAATATGTCAAGACTTCCTTCGCCACGGATGATGTCTCTCGCTGCTCCGCAAAACACCTGCTTGACAGACCTGTTGTAATCAGGTTGGGACCAGCCACGAAAGCTACCGACGAGACTGAGCATCGCAAACACCTTGTCTCGAGGGTCGGCTGCATCTCTAGACCAAGTGGTCCACAAGAGATCCGAAAGTCTCCCGTTCATGAGTCGTTGCCTCAAGAGGTGGAAGGCGGTGGCGTATAGATCCCTCAGTTCTGGCCACTCGCCAATGCGCCCATCTCCTGTCTCGACCATCGTCTTTCCCATGTCGTCCCAGGCCTCAGCGAACGGCAGAGCCTTTTGCAAGGTCTTCCACTTGATCGTCCGCTGCCCGAATTGGATGACTGCTCGGTCGTTGGCACACCAGACCTCTGGAACGGTCCAAGTCTGGCTCCACCATGGATTCTGAAGGAAATTGTCAACAGATTCCCAGTTGGCTCTGTAGTGTTCATGAAAGAAGTATTCCATGTGGTTCTCGTAAAGAACAGGCCTGCCGAAAGCGATATGGCCACGTCGTGACCGATTAAGCTCCCACGCTGCTATGGCCCTTTCCCAGGCTTTTCGGATTCTCAAAGCTCGGTAAGGGTTCCGGTAGCCGTGGACAAAGTAGTGTCGGTACTTGCTCCGAAGAAACAACATGATGACAGAGAATACTTGACAGATTTCGGACCGGAGAAGTTCGGTATGAGAAATGAGCGGCGCTGGTGAGTCGACTCTCTCCAAATAGGCTCGAGTATCAGATGATACCGTAGTAGAACTCCTGTTATCGACGACATCTAGGTCATTATCAGAAAAGGATCCGCTCTCGTAGCCCTCATCGTCCTCCTCATCATCGTTGTCCTCGTCTTCGGCATCTGATATTTCCGCTTGCCTCCCAGATCCGCACTCGGAGCTTGTGTCTGAGCCAACTCTTCGACCACCAAGGTATGTGCCTCGATCATTGTATTTTCTATGCATCGCCATTCTCCTGAGGAACGTGAGCGTACGATCACTGGTTCCATCCCCGGCCGAAGGACCTAGCCAGAATGTCACGCGCACAGCGCTTTCGAAGATTTGCCGCAAGAGTTTTGCTTGAGTGCTCTTCTCAGATGAATCTGCCTGGTCGACGCAGACTTCGTGAATCCATAGAGTGCGTGTGTCGGCAGTGCCGCGCAGAGAGAAAAGAAGAGACGCAATCTGTGATGAGATTGGGATGACTTTGGGGCTTACATTTAACGCGCAAGCTTGAACAGTCAGGTTTTCGGTTGCACCGGATGCCTCTTGCGCACAAGAGACGGCCTCGAAACTGGGAGACGACTCCAGCGAAACCTCTTGAAAAGAGCATGATAGGGGATCAAACAAGTCACCCGGATGGAGGGTAAGAAGTCGAATACAACCATGTTCTAGGCTCTGATGAATAGAAGACGTCGCCATATCATGAATCAGAGGCACACCAACTTGAAGACTGGCCTAGGAGCATGATCTTCCTCACAGTTGTGGGATAGGAATTCATTCTTCGTTGGGAGATGTATGAGATGTACTCGGTCAGCAGCCTTCAAATGGCTGCTGCCTGCACCAACAAGGGTCTTTCATCAGCCCCGGCGAAGAGTCAGACTTTGATCAAGAAGCCAGCGACGGTTTCAAAATTATCTCCTGTTACCGTTGAATGCAGTATCCATCAACGTGGCCAGTCTTTTGCAACACGCCAGCTCACTAGACACGCCCAGAGCACATCACGTTATCTCGAGTACATGCAAAACCAGTGAGAAGCGGCTCTTAATTTTCCCCACCTCCATTTTCCTCAACGGCCCCGGTGCTAATCATCAGCGCGGCGTCTTGCCGGAGTGAATCCGGGGTGCGGGGAAAATGGTGGTGTTGCCTACCCGACACCAAGCTGCATGAAGCGTGGCTGACTCACCAGCAGATACGTGGGATCCTCAATTCTTGAGCGCACCCGCCTCACTGCACTCATCCAAGACGGCCAGCATTCAGTATTCCGATGGCCAACGGAGATTTCAGCGAGGCTATAGTGTTGCTCTTCGGGGGAAAGCCTTGATATTCCGCGGACGGTCTCGGAACTGGCTATGATATTGCAATCATGCTTTGCCGGACACGCCGGCCGGCTTGTGGTCGGGAAGTTGACGTGGCGGGGTTCACAAGCCCGTTAGGGCTGAGGTGCAGGGGTGATACATGCGGATGAACTCTTTTCATTTATTTCCTCCGATAGGGGTTTACGGACCTTCAGCGTTACTGTGGATGTTGGGAAGAGCAATATTTCTGAACCATGGTTTTCTAGAAACTCTTTCAATGCCATTGATTGAACTGACGAGGGCTCATTGAGCTTTCACTGCGCTGAGGATGAGAGAGAGGTTGGATGCTGGTGTCACACCAGCGACGCTCATCTTTGGCCACTAGATGGGGTGCCAATGAGGCTTACTCATCTCGTGTCAATCAGCGAGTGATGTGTTTAGTTCACCTATCCGTACCGAAACTTGTGAGGGTAACTATTGTGGTCTTTGAAAGATCAGGAATGCAAAATCTGCATATCCATAATTCGAAAGACATGATTCTAGACTGAGTGATCTGCCCATCTCATCTAATCTCACATCATCTCACAGGCTCACCCCGTCCTACCTTTGAGATGAAGGCCCGTGCTTGTGCATGAATCCTGACTCGTCTCACCTTGAGGAGAGGCTTCTTAGAGGCCACCAGCTAGCTATTTTAGGTCTTATTACGCCGTAATCTTCCCTCCCCCTCTTGACCGAAAACGAGTACAAAGTCCACAAAAACACGGCATTAGCGCAAACTCTGTCGGCATTCTCTTGCCTGTAGTGCTGGATTCGCGCACACTATGAGTTCTGTACTGCGCGTAGATAGAGGCTAGATAGACGCGGCGAACTCCGCAATTACATCATTCTCCAATGAGACAAAACAAACCGCCCACCCTCGGCCCGGGCGAAAACTCAACCCAAAGTCATCGCAACACTCAGAGACAAGAAGTCAAGAGACCATTATGTTCGACTGATCTACGGGCACGACGACATAATCGAATAATCAATAGGTGCCCGCTCGTTCGCTCAAAGGGCCGATGATTCCGTAAACGGTAACGCAAAAACGACTGGAACCATGGCATCCGACGAACAGAAGCCGGACGCCGACCGGTACACCGAGGCTCAATCCCCAGAGACTGAGACTCACCCGGATGGCGTCCCGGCGCGGTCACCGACGACTGCAAGTAAAGCGACAAAGAAACCGGCGCCGAAGCCGGGCCTGGCGACGAGATTGGGCCTCGATGCGCCGACGCTCATCATGATGTTCAAGGGCTCATTACCGCCGCTGATCGGCATCGCCATCTACCAATCCACGCCTGTAGCACAGTACTTCACAACATTGGGCTATCTCGTGCCAATCATCTCAGTGCTTGCGCTCGCCATTCTCCCCAGAGGGAAATACCTCCAGAACCTCGTCCTCAATGTCACCGGAATATGCATCGGCGGCGCCTTGTCGATGCTGGCACTGTGGTCCGGCGTGCAGGCGCGAAGGAACACTGCTTCCGCCGAGGAGCTGGCCACCGGATTGCCCATCTACAACTCAAGTCAGTCTGCTGTCTGCGGCGTCTGGCTCTTCTTCAACATTTGGATTTCAAATACCCTGAGAGCCAAATACCCGGCGATGAACCTGCCTGTCATGATCTACTCCATCTTTATGAACGTAGCCTGCACCTTTGGCCCGCTCATGGTGACGACCGCAGCCGCTGAGTCGCTTGTGAAGCGACTTACCGTGGCAATGCTTTGCGCAATGGGAATCGCTACCGGTGTCTCACTTTTTGTTTTCCCCGTCTCCAGCAGAAAGGTGGTGAGCGGTGAATTCAAGGGTGCCATCGGCCTTGTTCGCAAGTCCATCGCCCTCCAGCTCAATTACTTGAAGACGCTATCGAGCCCTGACATGCTCGAGCGTCACCAGACGAAGAGCAGCAACGTGTTCAAGAAGAACAAGAAGCAGAAGAAGCCCGAGATGACGAAGGAGACGAAGGCCGCGGGTGAACTCAAGGCCACGGCTTTGGTAATTTCAGCCCTGTTTGGAAAGATGCACGGAGACATCCTCTTCGCCAAGAGGGATATCGCTTACGGCAAGCTCAACTCCAAGGATATCGGTGAAATCTTCAACCGCCTGCGAAGTATCATGATCCCATTGAACGGCATCAGCACAATCGTCGACATTTTCCGCCGAGCCTCCGAAAAGCACGGGTGGGGGGTCAACGATGGTAACGGCGACTCTGACGCGGAGAAGGAACGGGAAAAGAAAGTCTGGAACGATATCATGCTCCAATTGCTGGAGCCGTTCGAAATCCTTACGGAAGCGATGGACCAGGGACTAGATCATGTCGGTATCGTCCTCGAACTTACACCGAAGCCGAAGAAGACCAAGGGCGCCGATGTGGAGATGGATGCTGGTGCCAAGGCGACCTCGAAGCCAGGCGAAGCCGGGTTTGCTGAAGTCCTCGCCGCGAGGGTGCAGGACTTCAACGACAAGAAGGGAGAGCTGCTCAAGAACTGGTTGAAGGAGAGGCAGCTCGCAACGGAGCAGGAACGTCAAGATCTTCACCTCAAGAAGCTCGAGACCAGGATGCGGGAGCGCGATCAGACGCAGCTTTATGTGATGCTGTACATGGAGAAGCTCATGCTCGCCCTCGGCGAAGCGGTGCAGGATCTGGTCATGTTCGCAGACTCAAAGGTGGCTGACGGCACGATGGCAAAGAAGCGCTTGATTGTCCCTTCTCAGAAGCGTCTCAAGAAATGGTTCAAGGGTATCTGCAGCACCGAGGACGCTTCCCCCGAACAGACACCGGATATCGCGGAGATGGGCGCGAACATTGTCTACGCCGGTGATGGGTACAACAAGAAGAAGGACCCCGAACATCTTCCTGCACACGGCCTCTGGCAATACTTTGGAAACTGGGTGAGGGCATTTTCTGGGTTTGTCGGATCAGGTGAATCGCTGTTTGGCTTTCGTGTCGCCATTGCTACTATGACAGTCGGCATCATGGCTTTCCTACAGAGCACCCAGACGTTCTTCACTGAGCAACGCTTGGTTTGGGCCATGATCATGATTGCCATCGGCATGACCATCACGGCCGGCCAGTCCATCTTTGGCTTCGTATGTCGAGTCGGTGGAACTTGTGTTGCTGTTATCTTCTCCTACATCATCTGGTATATCGTTGTCGAGCGCACTGCCGGAGTCATCGTCTTCCTCTGGTTGTTCATCTTCATCGAGCAGTACTTCGTTTTGAAGTACCCGCGGTTTATGCCTGTATGGCTTATCACCATCATTACCCAAGTTCTCATCATCGGGTATGAGCTGCAGGTTCAAAAAATCGGAGAAAAGGCGGCGGCCGCCACGGGACAACCGTACTATCCTACCTATCTCCTGGCACCCTATCGTCTTGCCTGTGTTGCGGCCGGTTGCTTCATCGCGTTCATCTGGACCATCTTCCCGGCTCCCATCACCGACAGGCGCTGGCTGCGACGGGATCTCAGTGCCTCGCTCTATTTATTGGCCAACTACTTCAGCGTCGTGACTGAGACGATCAAGGCGACGATGGAGGAGACTCACGGTGATATCAAGAAGCCTGGCACACCTGCTCACAAGATGGAGAAGGAAAGGCGTCGCATTCTAGGCAAGCTGCTACTGCTGCTCCCTAGCTTGGATCAGCATGCGCAATGGCAGAAATGGGAACCCGATATTGGCGGCAAATTCCCTAGAGCCACCTACGAGGACATCATCAGACGGTCTACCAGCACCATGCGTTACCTGACACTGATAGCCTACACCATCACATGGAAGCCGCGTGACAGACCGGCAACGCCCTCGTCCGACAGCGACCGGGCTTGGCTGCGCGCCCTCAATCAGGTCCTTGCGGGGATTGAGCCGACGCAACATACCATTCTCTCCACGCTCACGCTCCTATCCAACTCTCTACTATC